CTCTGTAAGATGGAGCAGAGTGACGGCCGTAAAAAAAAACCATTGAAACTCTTAGAATCTAGCCGTGTTTGTTTTATATGTCATGTAGCAACAACACGACAAGTTTAACAGAGCCTTTCAAACATTTGGAGATAGAGCTGAGTCGGGTTTGATATAGTGTTTCACATCATGTTCGCCAGAGCTCAGGGATTGTGACACTGAACTCGGTGAACTGTTAATGAAACTATGCGAGATAAGACGTTGAATCGCCAAACTCCCCGTCCGACTTCCTTTGACTTCCTGCCTGCTACTTGTGTTCCTGAAATCCAGAAAGAAAACATATACTGCTACTACTGCTGTTGTCCTACTTTCTTTTTCACTGGATGTTTGAAATACCGTTGGGTCACCCCGGTGCACCTGTCTAATATGAACATGTTTCTGCTTTTGACTTTGTCCTTGGTGGTTCATTTTCTGTAAGGGCCAATTTCCTGTGGGAAATCCTGTAGTATGACTCTGGACAACCTGCGTAACATGTACAAAATGTGGTTTCGGGCAAAAAAATACAACACGAAATAGTTCAAACTACACCCGTCAATTTCCTGTTTCCATCGAAACTGACCGATTTGGCTTTGCTAAGATTACGATGAGTTAGATCGGCCCCACAGTTCTGTTCGAAATCATTCAAAAAACAACGTATAAGTGTTGAGGAAACTGGGGAAAATCCAGAAATAGTGGAAGTCGTAACTTTAAAGGTGTGTGATTCAAAGTGCTATAGGGGATTACGCTAGAACCAAATCTAAAAGAGTGAAGGTTTTTGTCCAAGTGCTCAAAAATTGATAAAGATGAATGGTCCAAAAACTGGATTTAACTTTAAAAAAAGTTTGTTGTTGTCAGACAGTTATGATTTAGGAGTTTGATTTGTTCAGTTTTGTTAAATTACAAATCGATCACAGCGAGAGCTGTTGGTCAATGAGAAAAAAACACAAGCCTAAAAATGTTATAACAAATGTAAAGCAACATGAATTTTTCTTTAAGAACACACCAGAGATTACCATACTTACCATAAAGAGAGAGCTGTTTATGTATTTTATATAATTTATTCATAAAATATTGTTAATGCAGCATATACTGTTTATGTATTTTATATAATTTATTCCTAAAATATTGTTAATGCAGTTTCTTATATTGGAGTTTTTTTCCCCAGTGGTAAAGTGTCGTATCCAGCTCTTTGCTTTATCTTATCTTAATCTTTTTTATCTTTATTGTCAGTAATGGAAGCTCCAGACCATATTTACTCTGCAGTAAAAAACAAAAAACATGTTTTAAATTGTACTAAGAGTTCTGGACTGTGCTCAGGAGAGGAAATATAGAGTATGAGAAAACAGCTATTGGTGCTGAGTACTTTATCAGCCATCATTCCTGCATTTATTGGCAAAAAGAAAACTATTAATTAATGACACATCACTGTGGGAAGAAGCATCCGGATCAATAAGATCTCTTTCAAAGAACTTCATCCTCTTTTATTTCTTCCTGTATATTTGGCACTGGCAAAACATCTGAAAGGCAAACTTTATGGAAAACAAAACAAAAAACAAACAAAAAAAAAACGCTCCTGAAGTTTGAAGGAACTGAACGTGTTCCATGAAGCCTCCTCTGCCACAGCTGTGTTTATAATGAGCAGCGTTTACTTGTCTCGCTGTTCGGTGGCGACTCCAACAGGCCTGACAGAAGATGGACAAGAGAAATGGAACCACCACCACCACCCTCGGCCAGGAATACCGGGACTCCAAACATCTGCTTTAAATCAGGGACACGGTCCTGGGGGGGGGGGGGGGTTCATCCCTGTAGCAGGGAAAACCAGACAGGAGGGCGATGAAGAGGCAGATGTTGGCGGTAATTCGATACAGTGGAGCGAAATCCAAGTCATTACCCGTAAACCGTTTGTCTGTGGACGAGCGTGGACCGTCTCAGGGCAACAATGACCTTTCGTGTCAGTGCTGCTGCACCTGCACGTCCATTGTCCTCCTTAAACCTCTGTCTTTGTTGTGTTGTAATGAGCACTGAAGTGTATGGGCCCGTCTTTTCACCCTGACATATGAAGACCTGTTTGAACCTGTGGGAAAGTTCAGATTCTAGAGCAGATGTGTCAAACTCAAGGCCCGGGGGCCAGACGTGGCCCGCCAAGTCATTTTGTACGGTCCGCAGGAGCTTAAAATTTTTTTTTTGTTTTTTTTATTACACAGATTATTTCTTGGGCCTCAAGGTCAAAAAGATTTTGACCCCAAGATTTAACCCCATTTTAAGTTTATTAGACAAAACCCCCCGGTACAGTGAGCTGTCAAAAACATGTCAGTGGCGTGGGCTAAGAGCTGCTAAAGGTCTCATCTGTCAACATACTCAGTTTTAATTTTAACAAGTCTGAGGACGGACGTGAAGTAAAACCTTTCATTAGAATTCTCTTCGTCCTTGTGTGGACCTACTGGGCGGAGCCGATTTTCTCAGGAAGGACTTCACATGCGATTAGCCAGAACGTGGTTTAAGAGAATGTGTCAGCTTTTTTGGAGGATGTCAGAAGAACCTCGTGTGTCGGCAGCTTGATTTCCCTCCTTCAAACTTGAAAAGAATTAGACCATGTCTGGCCGACTGATTGCCAGAGCAGCCGCGGTGTCGTTTAAGGTCACGCACACCCAGGGGAGGTTACCATGACTCAGCCATGTGTCCGTCACTCATCGTGGCAGCCACACAGTGAAGTTTGGGAGTGGTGCCGCCCGACTTTTCACCAGGATGAGGGGTAAAAATAGGCATCAACATCAATTTTCTTTTTTTTTTTTCTTTTAAAAATACACAAAGTTCTGCAACAAACGCAGTTAGGTTTTCAGGAGGTGACATTAATAATAAAGAGAATTTCCTCGTCTCTCATTGGTCGGTGCAGACAGGATGTTGCACAACACTCTAATAATGAGACGTACTCACTAAATTCCTCGTGTCTTTTCTTCTAAGGTTGAGTCTTAATCTGATTGTCTAATTCTGTCAACGGTCGTCAGTTGTTGTAGTCAACAGAAGGAGAAGCTCCTCCTCGAGGAGACTAGATAGTTTGGCTTTTTTTTTCTTTGACCCAGTTTTCCCCCTCCGTTGGTTCCTGGTTTTAGTTTGGGCCAGAAGCTAAAAAAAAAATGACTCAAACTGGAAAAACTTAAGTCTGTAATTTGTTTTTGAAATGTTTTGGTAATTTCTTTGAGTCATGTTTTCTAGGTCAGGGAAAACACAAGAAGAACAACAGAGTCTGGAACTTCAGGGGATTTGCCTCGTCGATTTACGTCGTCCTCAACCTGAGACATTTTCACAATATGTCACTTGACCCCCAAATATTAATTTATTATGAAAGTCTTGTTCAATAGTTCCTCCAGTTTTGAAACTTTTTTCACTTCATTATGGCAAATTATGGCTAACTTCCTTTACTTTGTGCTATCCATAAATTAGCCACAACATTGTTTAAGCTACAGGGTCTAAGCACGTAAAAAAGTAGCGTCCTATAGTCTGGATATTACGGTAATTCCAGTTTCTGCAAATATTGTTGTTCAAATTTTAAAATGGAAAAAGACTAATTAAAATTTGTCTTTAGAATCAAACAACAAATAAAACTTTGTTGCAATGTTTTATGGGCCGGATTAGAAACCCCATGGTCCTGGTCTGGCCTGCGGGCCACAGTTTGCCCAACGCTGCTTCTGAGTCATGATTTTGGCCATGTGCAAACAAGCTTTAACCCTGAAAATCTTTGTCAGTATTATTAATATTTTATTGTTTTAGTGGCTGTCATTGCTTTTACTTTGCAACTGTAGCTAACAGCAACATCCAAACAGGACGAAGACATCGTTTTAAAACATGAATTCCACGTGGGCCGTGTTGCTCATCTCACAGCTGCTGCGAAGCCGTCGGAATGCTGTTTAGAAAATTTGAACCTCAGAATTATCATATCACAAGTGTCTCTGACTCTGTGCTGTTTCATCGACATCACGGTGCAGATGTTATTCTGCTCATCTCTGCAGCCGCAGATCAGGAATCCCTGGCTTTGACCCTCTCCTGTGTCATTCTCATCCAACTCGTATCCATCTGTGACAGCGGTTCAAACCTGTCTGTCAGGCTAATGGCAGCTGTTTTCCTCCTTCTATCATCAGCTCCGGGACAAATTAGAGTTTGAACAAAGTCCAGAGAGACCCATTCCAGCCCTCAGAAAACAGGCTTCCTGTTGGATGCCAGAGCAGAGATGGAGTTAATAGGAGAGGTCATAAAACACGACTCTCTATCTAACCCTCTATCACTTTTACACTCCCACACAACCCCTGCCTGTTTTTATCGCTGCTGCAGAAGGACAGCCATTGGTTTCAGAATGAAAAAAAAAAAAAAAATCAAGCATGGAAAAACTGGTAGCATTGATATTTCATTCATGTACAGTACTCCTTCACATAAAGTATTTTCAGGACTAAAAGTTGCTTTTTTTTTTCATCATTTAGCTAGGTTTGCGATTTATACTTAGGTGCAACTTTAACTTTATATTTCTAACTTTATATTAAAATATATGATTTCACTTGTTCTTTATTTTCACACTGACAGCCACTAGAGGGCACTCTTGGGCTTGTGTACCGGGATCTGCTACTGCTGTACGACTGAAAATTTCCATGTTTGTTATTTTCACACTGACAGCCACTAGAGGTCACTCTAGCTGGCTGCTGCGACTTATACTCCGGAGTGACTTATGTACTTTTTTTTTTTCTTCGTCATGATGCATTTTTTGGCTAGTGCAACTTATACTCTGGATGGACTTATAGTCCAGAAAATATGGTAATATTTCTGGAGGTCGTTTTCAAGTTTTACATGCCTGTCCTGACGTTGTTACGTCGTGTTGCTACAAGGTTCACACATCTGTCAGACTTCCAGCCTGAAGATTTAAACTCCAGGCAACCAGACTTTCTGTCCCGACATTATGCAGATGACACTCAGTTTTAACCTTTCTTCTTCTCCAGGTCATGGAGAATGTCACTGCGGTGAATGTAAATGTCACGCCGGTTTCATCGGGGACAACTGTAACTGCTCCATTGATACGTCTACCTGCGTGGCTGATGATGGACAGATGTGCAGCGGGCGCGGAAACTGTGTGTGCGGCCGCTGTCAGTGCACGGAGCCTGGAGCCTTTGGAGACACCTGTGAGAAGTGCCCCACTTGCCCCGACGCCTGTGGTACGAAAAGGTACGGTCTTAGCAGACTGATGACTTGCAGTGAATTTTCCAACCCAACCAAACCTTTTTATAGGCTCATCCTTGCTTTAATGGCTTCGTCAAACCAGTGGTTCTTAATTATTTTCTGTCATGCCCCCCCCTTGTGGACAGACATGTTTTCACTTCCCCCCTCCATCCCTCTCCACACCCCCGCAAATTGAAATACTATTGAGAACCTGATGACATGTGTATATATATCTGTACAAAGCACTGTATGAGTTGCTGCCACCTAGTGGCTGGAGGCTTGTTAACACAGTTTGAGATATACAGTGTCAAACCATTCCTGACCCTCAGTGCAGCACGTTCCGTTCTCAGAGGTTAGAGGTCATCCATCCATCAGTCGTCCTGTAAAGACAGCGGTCGTCCACGTGTGTACTCTACTTTAAGCTGTTGTTTAAGGTGCTTTTACTGGTCGTATGGTTCTTTGAGCTACACGGCTACGTAAGAGTAGAGGTCACACGTAGGTCAGGTTTGTCTCAAGTCTGGTCCGAAAGTAAAGAGGAGGAAGTTGAGTTTCCTGGAGTGCTTTTTAGTTGTTGTGATTAATTTTTGTTTAGAGAGAATGGAAACTAAAACATATGGCTACAAGTATGACATTTAACAGTCAATAGAGAGGTATACTAAAGAATTTAAATCTTGTAATGGTTTACATTTAGTCATTGGAGGAAAAATCAGGTCCGTGGGACAAATCTGGGCCCTGGTGGAATTATTTTTGGCCCGCGAGATATAGCCACTATATACTGGCACTATATACATTTTTGGTTGTTCTTTTGTTGGCCTCTGAAAAAAGGTACAAATACCACTGATGTGTGGTTTATTTGAATTTGAATTTCACTTGTGTTTATAATATTAAGCTTTGGTTTTTCCAGATTTAATCTTTATGTTTTTCCATATGAAAAAAAATCAACATATACACATATCTGGAGAGAAGGGAAAACGTGAACAATTCCAGGCAATTTCTCACTAAATATTAAGTTTGACCCGTGACTGTGAAATTGAGTTTGACATCCCTGCTCTTAGATTTGTCAATCACTGTAAGCCAGCTGAAGAACATTATCAGGGTAGGTTTTATCATCTATCATCAAGTGTTCGGACCTCTTGCAAATCTGTTTTCGAATCTGACAAATCTGCATTTCAATGAATATGTTTTTTAAAAACAACTAATGTATGTCCTTTTTTTGTGTTTCATCCGAACCTCAGGGAGTGCATCGAGTGTAGACTATTCGACTTGGGACGACTCGCAGACAATCAGACCTGCCAGCGTCTGTGCAAGGATGAAATCATCACTGTGGAGACGTTAGGTGAGTGTGTAAACACACACACATGCACGGAGCAGATGGCCGACAGACCGAGAGCCTTTAACATCTGTTGCATCTGCAGCTATTTCCTTTTTTTTTTTCACATCACAAACCTCCCACACTGTCACTTTCCATCAGAGCTCTGAACACTGTTGCTGCCAGACTGCACTAACTCGCCCGATGACGTCAGCTGGTCTTCAACAAGTGACATTTCATCTGAAGCAAATCAGGCACACGTTCAGACTGTGGCGAAAGCCTCCTTAAAAACTGATTTATGATTTATTTTATTTAGAGCAGCAGATGTAATGAACGAACAGAAAGCTTTTGACCAAAACAAAAAGGACGTTTGACCAGATTTATAAACGACGTTAATTAGAATCATTAGGATCAAAGTAGGTGCATGAAGTGCGTGCTGTGATGTTTGTTTTGATAATTGTTTGTCAGTTTGGGAGCAGGACTTGGTCCAAAACACTGACGTTCACGCACAAAAATAGCAACTTAGCACAGAGCAGTTAGCCACTGTAAATAGTTCTTGTAGCGGCTAACTGTTTTTTCACTCAAACTCCAATAACATTTATTCAAATTTGTTGGGTTTTTAGCTATTGTTTTTATTTTTCTTAGCATTTTTTTAGCCACAGCTAATTGTAGCCTATTTAACTTGGTAGCTAAATATTTGATTGCGCTTTAGGTGCGATTTTTGCCATATAAAACCTATTTTTTCTTAGCTTATATTTATTTATATATTTGCTAAGTAAGTTAAGTGCGACGTGAGTAGATTGAGGCTAGTTTGGTCGCGGGTTAATGCTAACTATAAACAATCCTAAAAAGTCTTAAAAAGTCATAGCTGCTAAGTTTTCCCTGGGTGTCATTAATCTATTTCTAGTTATAGTTTTTGTCTTTTTTTGGAACAATGCTAAGTTGTCTTTTGCTAACTTTTAGCTTCTAATGACATGGTTTTGTTTTGATTATGTTTGCCGCATTTCTCACAGTTTTTCCTTAACTTTTGTTAATATTTTTTGTTCAACTTTAAAATATTTCTCACCTCAAAGCTGTTGCGATATGATGAAACCTAAAGTTTCCGTCTCCCCTTGAGCCTAAATATATTTCAAATTTATTCCGACAACGCGTTAGTTTTCTGCCTCTCGATCCTGTGCGACGCGTCGCAGTGTTGATGTCCTCGCATCGTTTGGAGTTCACGTCCTCAAATTCCTCCGTGGTTAGTCCTGCAGTCACGCCATGTGATTTCTGCGTCCTGACGTCGCCACTGTGTTATTATGTGACAGATGTCACTCTGACCATCGCTGCCTCACGCTGCAGGAAACGGCAACAACGCTGGGTCAGACCCTGTCATTTGGTTCAAAGAGTTCACTGCCTTGTTGCTAATTTTCATTCTTTTCTGGATACATTTTTACCTATATATTTAGCCTAGCTACCTTACCTTACAGTAATATTGAATTGAATAATTTAGCAATTCATCTATTTCTGTGCGAACCCCAACTTACACCTAATTAAGGGTTGTTTTTCACACTGGTTTTGCAAATCTTCCATTTTATATGTTTTTACAGACAGTCATTATGACAATTAAAATAATGCTATTAAATATTTAAGGGCTCTTCTTTCAGCCTGAATACCTCATTTCTGACCCTGCTGTTTAACACTAAATGCTAACATCTTTCCCACAGCATGCTGGGAAAACTGTTAAAGTATGTTAAAGAATTCTGTTTACCATTCGGGTGTGACCCGTGACCTTCTGTAGCACCGTGATGCACAGAGGGTACGGAGGAGAACGTCACCGGTTCTGTGTTTTCGGTGTCGGGAGGCGGCGGCAAGAGTCGCTTCCATGTCGGCTCAGCGCGCTCTTGGATCGCTTCCCAGTTGTTTCATAGCATTCCAGCTCCTTCTGACTGCCCTAATAGACTCCACATGTACATTCCAGATAGTTTGTGCATGAAATAGAGCAGGGGGAGGAGGGGGAGGAGGAGGCCTATGACCTCACCTTCCCTCCGAGTTATAGCTAAAACAGGGGCACTAAAACATCAGTAACTTTTTGCAGGGCAAAGAAATCCAAAGTATGTGATATACTGTGTGAACTGTGGCTTTAAGGTGATGAATGTTACAGGCCATGGTCTCTGTGAGCAGGGTGGGCAGGGTTTGATCATCTACCTGTGAGATTATTCGAAATGATTATAGAATGTAACATTAAACTATATATATATGTGTATATATGTATATATATGTGTACATATGTATGTATATATGTCTCTATATATGTATATATATGTAAATGTATATATGTATCTATATATGTATATATAGGTAGGTATCATTTTAAATAATTGCTATTTTAGTATTGACCGAAATGATGACGATTATGATTGTTTTTCCTCCATAATCTGTTAGCGCTACTGCTTATTGTTTACTTTCCTTTCAGTGTATTTCCAGTTGTATCTCAAACTGCAGTTCATCATCCTACTGTCTATTCCTTCCTCAGAGACCAACGACCCCAGTGCTGTGTTGTGTGTGTACAAGGCAGACAACGACTGCGTCATGAAGTTTACCTACTCTGAACATTTCAGTGGACGTTCAATTCTCACTGCTCTGAAGGAACCAGGTTAGTTCTTTCACCTCAGGGGTTGAAAAGATGCTACCTCAGTCTCTACCTGTGCTGTTGTAGACAGACTCGATGTTCAAAGTTATTTCTCTCTGCGTCAGATTGCGGAGGTGGACCTGACGCCCTCACCGTGCTGCCGGTTGTGGTCGGCAGCATCCTGCTAGTGGGCCTGGTCCTGCTGGCTGTTTGGAAGCTGGTTATCACCATACACGACCGCAGGGAGTTCGCACAATTCCAGAGTGCACGATCAAGAGCACGATACGAGATGGTAAGGCTGATCTCCGTCTCGACTCTTCTCTTATCACCTTCTTAAACTTCACTCAACCCTTAAAATTTTGATGCAGGCCAAAAATGATGGGGTGAAAAAAAACATATTTGTACAGGAACAGACAAAAAACACTGTTAAAATGTGTCATATATCAAAATACAGGACCAAAAAAACAAACTAATCAACTCTCTCTGAGACTTGAAGGTTTTGGAATCAAGAATCGAGAAGCTTTAAATGTCACATGAAGTAGGACTAAAAATAGAAAATGGCAGCACAAATATAAATTTAAATCAATAACTAAGTACCTCATTCGTCCCACGATGGGGAAACTTACAGTGTGAGTCTTTGCAAACGACACAGACCGCCCCAGGAGGCGCCATTAGGAATATGTGGTTCCTCTGGGAATCAAACCCAGGACTTTCTGCTCTTAAGGCAGATGTGCTGACCGCTACTGTATAGAACCATTAGCAAACATTAATGATAACAATAGAAAAATCTATAATCCCAATTCAGTCCTTCCTCCATACAGGAGCGCAGGTCCTAGCTGAACGGTCCGTTATCTAGGTAGCGTTCTTGATCATTTTTCTGGCTGACCTATATGGCTGACCTCTGAGGCTTATTTCCAGGACAGATAAACATGTTTGTGGTTTAATGTCACATTAAGATGACAGTCCTTATAGAGAAGAATGACAGGTCATGTATAAGTTTCCAGCAGGAACAGCAGCGCTAAGATGACGTCTTGTTGTCCCTCAGGCGTCCAACCCTCTGTACAAACAGCCCGTCACCACACACTCTGTGGAGACCGATTTCGACATGTTTGGAAAGTCCTACAACGGAGGGGTCCACTGATCCCTCGGCTCGGGGCTCGGCAGGACCGGTCCCCCCCCCCACCAACACAAAAATCCCTGGAGGAAGAAGGAGAGTGAGTGACTGAGCACGCTCATCCCTCGGAACTGTGCACGACACGGGCAGGCACGGACGTGATGTGAACTCCGGCGAGTCAGAGAGCAGAGGGGGGCGAGAGGAGGAGGAGAAGGATGAGGATGAAGGAAAAAGGGAAGGGAGGAGAAGTTTGTGGCCTTTTTTTCATCTTTCCAGAGAAGGGTTAAGCCCATAGTAAAGAAAAGGTTTGACTTTCTTCTTTCTTTTCCTCCGCTGCTCATAATGTTGCAGAAGCCTAGCATGAACGACTGTAGAAAGAAAGTGAGCGGCCACGTGAGAAAGAAAAAAGAAAAACACTGTTTGTACAGAGCAGAGCAGACTTTGACTTATATTTGTATATTTTTTATAGAAAAAAAATCAACTGCTCTACCGGGTGGATTTTACAGGATTGTGAAAGAAAAGCACATACATCTCTGGTCTTGTGGTACTACTAACCTTTACTCAGCAATAGATGGCATGAATACAGTTTGCACAGCAGTAAAAAAAAAAAAAAAAAAGGATTTAAATGTATGATGATTTTTTTTTTTTGTAACGTGTCGGTGTATATGTTTGCTTCAGTTGCACTCCTTAATCAGACTGGGTACCAGCTCCATCACCAGATCCCAGATCTTAAAGGATCTTGAACGTAATTTCCATGTTGGGGTTGAGTTTAATTTTTGTTTTGTTTTGTTTTGCATTTACAAGAAAAATAACTTCACGTCACGGCAACAGATAGTCGCCATAGTAATATATAAAACACAATATTTCTGCCATATAACCTTTTCTTTCAGCAAGGGAATGTTTTACAGCCAGCTCCCCTGCTGGCAAAGTGTGGTACTACATCCAGAACTGCCTTTATGAACAAGTTTCAAAACAAAACCTGTCTGTTGTTAACAAGTTAACCAAATGAAATCAGAGCCTAGAAATCAACGCTTGTGTTATCCAGAAGGGGGCACTCTTATCTGACTAAACCTTGCCCATCAGTAACAAAAACAGCTGCTACTGTGTTAATAAGTAAACAAAACAAACCTCCAAATACAACACCACAGTGTCTAGATAGTACGATTTCTTGTTTGACCCTATTTTTTTTCTGACGTAGAACGGCTAGTTTTAAGGCAAAATAGAGAACTATTTTGTTTTATGATAATTATGCTATTTCACAACCAGGGGCGCTGCCAGGAATTCTGGGCCCCACGAAAGGATATGACAGTGGGCCCCTGTGTATATGTCGTTGTAATACTCTAATATTTTTTGGGGCCCCTGTCAGTCAGGGGGGCTTGGAATCATCGTACCCCCTCACCGCTGTTTGCCACGTATCCTTCCTTAGCGTCAAAGGTCACGACCTGCTTCCTTTAGTGAAATCAAAGTTCTTCTTCTTAGACGTTCTTTCTTTCAGAAGTTTGGCCTTACAAAGCATTTATTTTTGGAGTTTTGAAGGGACAGCCTCAGCCCTCGCATTGGAGTGGAATGCTTTTAGCACACGTTAGCGACTAACTAACAATCCCGCAGCACGAGATGAGGTGGTGCGTTTGTAAGGCAGTTAGTGATTAGGGTGTCGTGATAAAAGAAATGCTTGGTCAAATGGAATCAAATAAAGTCTGTACTAATGCCGGCACACTTTTGTGATGGTCCACCAGAGGGCGCTGCAACACAAACATGACCGTATATGTAATACAACACACAGCAAAGAGCAATAAATCTGTTAATGTCATAAATAAGTGGGTGTGTTGTGTTGACCACGGTTGTCTCATACATATTTTAGCTAATTTAATTATCTTTTTCAGAATTAAGTTTTTATTGTTGCTCCTTTAGGAAAAAATAAGATTTAAGTTGTGGATAATTGTATCTTTTTTTGGGGTGGGGGTTAAAATATGTAACATTATTCCTTTGTGTGCACAGCATGCAGCACCACACCCCTCCTGCAGTGGGTGCTATCAATGCAGTTTAAATGAAATCGTGAATTAGATGGATTTGTTGGTACAATAATATTTAACAAATGTATTTCATAATTTCTGACCGTGATTTTTTTTTTCTGTGAGATGATTTTAACAGCAGTCCTGACCTTAGGTATTTCAACTATTCATCTTTTACTACCGCTACTCCTCACAGCTTTACCGTTCCACTTGCCTCATGCTCATTTTACACACATGTATTCTGTCCTACTCCTGTTGACCTTTATTCATCCCGGCTCTAAATTTAACCTCCACCTCCCCAGGTTTTTCCTCCACCTGCTCCCTACTTTCACCTCAGATGACAGTGTCATCTGCAAACATCATGATCCATGGAGCCTCCTGCCTGGCCTCATCTGTTGATCTGTTCATCGGTATAGCAAACAGGGTTTCCCATGTTTCCCATCAGTCACTCTGACAGCACACCTACAGTATAACTACAGTCTCTGTGTCATGTCATCCTACTGAACTTTCACATACTTTTCTGCCACTCCTGACTTTAGAGCAGGCATGGGCAAACTCGCGGGCTTTGGCTCGCGGGCCATAATGGGTCGTAAAATTTGACAGGGGCACCGGGGTCAGGAGCAGACAGATGGAGTGTTAAGATGATTGACATGTAAAAGTCATACATAAAGGCTGAAATGCTTTGAGTGTTTTCTACGCCATCTATTGGGGAAATGCTGGCATTGCAGTTAAAAACCAAACATGTAATGACAATATAAATTAATATAATTTGGACAAATTTGACGGGCTGGATTAAAAAGCCAAATGGGCCACATCTGGCCCCCGGGCCATAGTTTGTCTGCTTAAGACCAATATCTACTAGTAGCTGGTAAGAAATAACTGGGCATCATGTTTGTTTAAAGCTGTGGTGATTTTAATTCAAAATGTATATTTTTAAACTACGTGTATAAATATAACTCAGAGTTCAATACAAAGCAGATGTGTCCCCCCTCTGATGGTCTGTCCACAGAGTCTTAGTTCTAGTTTCAGTCTCTCCTGCATTGGCTTAACTCTTTGAGACTTAGAGACTGCTATTTATATCCTCCACTGCTATAATTTTAAACCCTCCCAAACATAATAATCAGGACGTTGCGGAATAAGCCTTAAATTACACACCCAACACAACAGCCCTATGGTGACGGTGGTGAAACGGTGGCTCAGTTTGTTTCCACGGCGTGTCTTCACATTTACACGGATAGTTCATCTGCACATGGCAAAAAGTACAACTTTAGATGACATTATTTTTGCAATTTTATTCAGGGTGGACTGACTTCCTGTAGACTGACTTCCTGTAAAACACAGCTGTGATTTGGATCGTTTGGCTTTCAGTGGATGTACTCCTCATTTCCTTCCTTTTTTTTTTTTTTTATCTTACTTTCCCTCTCCCTCACCCCTTGCTGTATAGGTGAGAGTTGACACACTCAGCATGGCACATGTAAAGTATGAGGTCACTGGGATCAGGTACAGCCACAACAGCCAGACATCTACTTAAAGTTGTTTAAATCACAACTCAGCCAGACATCTACTTAAAGTTGTTTAGATCACAACTGGAGTATTTGTTGTAGTTTTTTTATTTTTTTGTCTTTTAGACGTATTGCTGACTGTCGTGGCACCAGAGAATGATGGGAAAATGCAGAGGAGGACAGTTGACAAAACAAAGTGGGAGGTAAGACTCACATTTTCTCTTCTGTTTTCTCTGTTTTAAAATCTTTTTTTGGAAAGTAAGCTTTTGGAAAGTAAGCAACAGAAGCAGAATTAGAAATGATTACATAAAAATAAATATATTCCAAATAATAATTAAAAGAATATTTTAAATCTGATGTTTACAGATAAGTCGCAGAATTTCCTGAAAATTTCCCTCACCGCTCATTCTCCAGCTCCAATTCAAATCACCCGCGTCACAAAGACACTTTGACCTCGTGCACAACAGCACTGTCAGGACCTTTGACCTCTGCTGACGACTGCTTCTGAACGTTAATCTGATCTGAGTGTGAGCTGTAGATCTAATCCTTTTTGTTTCTTTTTTGCGCATTTTAGACATTGTGTACTTTACATGCTGCACAAATGATGACCCTACACATTTTTTACACATTTTATTGGATTTATAAAGATATCTATCATTTAGTTCATTTTGTTTTACCGCAACAAAACTTAAACTTAAATATCCTTGTATTTAAACTGTAAAATAATTGCTTCTATTTAAAAAAAACATTATTTTCATTCTTAAAAACAATGTCATACATTTGGATTGAACAGAGCCCTCTGGCTCCTCTTCTTGTACGCTGCGACCATCTAGTGACGCAGTATCGTAATTACATTTGAGAACCTTTTTTATCAAATCGGTTTCGAAAGACGATTGTTTTTTACTCATATTTGCTCAATTTAGTTTGAAGTCTATCTATGAAAAATACTTTAACTGAGTTAAGTGCTAAAAAATAAATCAAAACCTTTTTTTTTAATCTTTTCACTGCAGCCCGGTACCAAATAATCTACTACCCGGTATTGGGCCCTTTAAATTTTCCCACGTGATACTATTCAGCCAATCAGGTGTAGGCATTCCAGGTGGAAAACGTTGCAAATGCCCGAAAAGCATGTCCCTGACTCCTTTCAAGGCCAGTTTTAAATATTGTTCAGTTGTTTTGAAAGTGTATAAAATAATTTACCGGTAAATCTTGTAAAAATCTGGTAAGTTCTCTTTCTTTATTTTCTTTCTCTAACGCCAACCCTTTATTTGAATACAAAATGTTTTGACACGGTATTGTATGCGATATTTACGTTTAACTTCCTTGTTTTACGACAAAAGATATTTCCCAAATGTATTTAATTGTACATTCAGTTGAACGTTACGGTGTTGATGTGAATACTAAACTACACAAGAGTATGACGAAAGTTATTTGCAATATTTACAATATGACTTTGAGACAATTTCTCCCACGGGACTTCTGTAACATGTTGTTGTTGTTGTATGATAATTAGAATGGCTGTAGATAAATACATTTATTTCTTATTAAAATGTACTTTTAGGATAGTTTTCATTAGATGTACGATGGAGTATAGATTACCAACGTGAGTATACTATGTGACCACTAGGCGGCAGCAGTGCAATTTAAAAAGTGATTTTCAATCACATTCATTATTTAACAAACGATTCAACTATTAATGATAAAAAAGGGCATTTAAGACTTTTTTAACAAAGAAAAAAATTAACAAATAATAAATTAGGTCTAATGATGTTTTAATACAATTTTAGAATTAAAGGCCAAAAAAAAAAAAAAAGCAGAGAGTCAAAGAGGCTATTATTCCTTTGTCCATGTCTCTCTCCGTCCATCCATCCATGCTCTCTGTCTTTTCTCTAGTCCATCCCAGTCTATGAGTTTTCCTCTAACACTCTCACTGTGACATAGAGTGTGAACAGTAAAACTAGCTCGCCTTCCAAACACGTTTGAAGTGTATGAGTGCGCTGTCACGTCATTTTAGAGCAGTAATTACACCCACCCCGACCCTCCACCGCCACCCTGACACTTTAGGACACTCTCCAGAACTTCCTGGTTCTGCTGAGGAATTCCTAAAATATTCCAGTAAACCAGGGCACACACAGAAGCAATTATTCAGCATGTGTACCACAGAAGAAGTTAAAGCTGTTATTCACAGATGACCAACAGCATTTTCAGCTAAAATGTTCAAGCTAACAGTCAGTATATATACTATTCAGAATGCGTGTTGACAGCTGGACTGCAATGTCAACACTTTCAAAATAAAAGACTTTATTGGTTACATTTTAATTCGAAAAAAAGTCCATGTCAACCTAGTCCGGACTCGGGTACTAGATCACAACCTTGTAGTGTCAACATTTCCTGGAGTGTCACATCTATTATGTGACTCAATATGACCACATTCACTTCAAGTACCAGTAAATGCTAAATCTCCATCTTCTACAATAGTGGGAGCCAGAGATAATCCAAGCAGTGATTACACCCTGGACAGTTCTCCAGTCCATGGGCCCCGTATTGAGACAACCAATCACACTCAAACACCTTTGTGAGGTCACCTTACCTGAACAATTAACCTAATCCTATATGTTTTTTAGATTGTGGAAGGATGTCGGAGAAAAGGGAGGAAACACCCCCACACGCAGGAAGGACAGCAGCAACAGATTCCCCTCTTCACTTAACCAATGTAAAGTCATTTAATGAAGCTTGATTTCTTCCACTTCCAATCCAAGCCCTCCAACCCTTTAAACCTTTTTTTGGAATGTAGACTAAACCATTGTTTCCCAAAGACTGGGTCACGACCCTCAAATGGGTCGCAAGAGATTTTCATCCAGAAGAAAAGATTGGGAAACACTGGACTAGACGCCAAATGTGTCCAAATTCAAATTTGGTTTGCTCTGCGCCCCCCACTTTGGGAACCAATATCTTGAGCTAAAACACACATTTTCAGCTTCCAATTGAAGTTAAGGGTTTTTTTTTCTCTCTAAATGCTTCTTATGCTGCACAAAAGTCCAAGAAAAGCTATGATTGATGCTTGTGAGGACACAGTAGCCGAAAGTAAAATTAATCTGACACTGTCTTTTGTTGAGCAAATGAAATTTTCCTTTGGCTACAGGATGCTTTGACCTCAGCAAAATCAGCATTGAAAAACACTCTTGTGGTCGCTATTCCCACTCATGAAGTCATGTCTTCATGAGTGGGAATAATTTATAAGGCGTTCGTTGCTTTCTAATTATGATACCGACTCAGTCTGAGCTGGCCCTGTTGTGGTTAAGCATGCTGACACACACACACTAATGGAAAGGATGATCACTCCTTTGTAGGAGTAGTTGTACTGTGTGTAACACAATGACTGTGTCTGAGACGGACTTTCCC